CAGGGTCGTCCCTCGGCCTCCGGGAGCGTTTCGTCTTCAAGCGGAGGGAGTTTTGTGCCAAGACCTAAATGCTGCTGTAAATACGGCTGAAAGTTAACGTTTAGGCCGCTGTTACCAGTGTTTTGGCAGGAGGCTGTGCCTACCTACTCGAGTGTTATTAAGTAATGAACTTTGTTGCTAAGCTATAAAATAGGTTTTATTATTGGCTATTGTCACTTTATCTGTGTAGCCAGTAAAAGTGAAACTCGCTGTGTGGACTGTTGCCTGCTACCCTTGTTGTTAAGGGTCTGTCAACATTTCCATTATTAAACTTCTGTTTTGAAAGATTTATAACTTGACTTCTGAAGTTCATTCCAGGCTGAACCTTGGCACGTTCTCTCCCAGCCTAGGAGTTAATTCATTTTCCAAATACTCGAAAAATCAGTCTGGCCTTCATATAGCAAGACTGAAAAGAAAATCGAAAGGAGTGGAGCTGAGTTGGTTCTGTAATTTTGCTAGCTTCTGAGTTGCAGACCTTTAATAACATACTGAATTCCAGCAAAGAAAAAGGATTTTATGTACAGTCTTTTTCCAACTTGAGCAAATCTTATCGCAGTTCCATTTTGTACAAATCTGAATAGGTAGACATTCATCCAACACTTGGTGTTGTGTCTTGTTAAATACAGTAACTGCAGTTAAATAGCTATCGTGTTTGAAATGCACTTAACGTCTGTGATGTTCCTACAGCTTGCACTTTTAAGCTTAGCCTTATCTTCTTTGTGTATGTTACTCTTCATCTGCAATGCATATTTAGTTGTATCACTGTTCCTTGTACCACTCGGTGGTTGTTAAAATATAAACTTGAAGCCAAAGAATCATTTGCTTCACTGTGGACTATTTTCACTTTCCTTTTTGTTTAGTTGTGCCACAAAAACATTCTCTTTAAAGAAAAGGTCTTTCATTTTCTGCAGTTTCCCCTGATTCTCAGGAATCAAGATGCCACAAATTCAGTTGATTTGCTACTCGGTATTTTTTTTAAATGTAAATTCAAACTAATTCGTTTCCAGTTGAATACGTGGAAGTTCACGTGTGCTTGCATACAGATGGAGAGAAGCATAATTGTCAGTCTCCATAAGAGTGTGTAAGTGGGGCCTCACATATGGTGCAATACCTTGTGTAGAGAGGTGTGACTAGGGCTGATACATGCATTTCATTATGGGTATCCATGTTGTTCTGCTGTATCTATAAAACCAGTTAATTGGCAAATATATTTTTAAAAGCCATTTTTACTTCAATCAGGTCTTCAGAGCTGCCTTTTCTGTTCCATGGTGGATCTGTATTTACTGCTGGCAAGGACATTCTTTGTGCTTGTAACTGGTGGCTCCAGCGAATGGTTTTGTGAATCACTTCAGATTGACTGGTTCAACCATTTCCTGAAGCTTTGCTTTGGATAAAGCATGGACAGACTCTTTAAACCCTCGAAAGCGTGGATTGTTAGGAAATTCTGTGTTCAGTATTTTCGTATATGTTTTCTTTATGGTTGAATTCGTGAGTCTTCCTCCATTGGACCTGGCTGCTGCCAGTTGGCATTTCTCTATTGCTTTTCTCTTTGGATAATCTTTTAAACCCTACAGAGGGTCTGTGTGTGGGTGTACTTGAACCCCCACACCCCTCTTTCAAAAAGAGTGGGAAATTACCTCCTCCTGCAGAAAGCGGGTGTGATGGTGGTGAGTGGGTGCAGTCCAGTAATGAACCACTATAGTGTATGAGGTCTGCTGTCTGCGGGCAGGTTTTTTTCTGAACCATGCACCAAGGAGTAAGAGTTGTAGTTTTCCAAGTAAAACTAAGGGCGCTTAGCACATACTTAGTGGTAATAGGTCTTGACTTACACTAGGGCTTTTGTGATGCTAATTAACCAGACTACTTGGAGGCTCTCTTGAATGGCATCAGCTGGAAAATAAGCAGAATTTAGAATGACCGACTTAAGAATTTCTCCTGAAAGGTTCATTTAAAGTGAAATGTCATTTGACAGCTGCATTTCTGCTGAAATATAAGAATTTTAATGGGAATAATTTCACTCCTGGCAGGCTAGCACTGATGCAGGGACAGCAGGAGCCCTAACCCCACAGCATGTCCGAGCTCATTCCTCTCCAGCATCACTGCAGCTGGGAGCTGTTTCTCCAGGGACGCTTACACCCTCTGGAGTAGTGACTGGACCTGGAGCTCCATCTTCTCAACATCTCCGCCAGTCTTCATTTGAGATCCCTGATGATGTACCTTTGCCACCAGGCTGGGAGATGGCTAAGACACCATCTGGACAGAGATACTTTCTTAAGTAAGTAAAATTTCTTTTCAGTTAGCTGTATCTCTGGTGCTTGTTGGGATATATTTTATACTTTTTTTACAGTCTTTGAATTTTAGTAAATTTCATTGTGTTTAAAATATGTATTTCTAAAAATGTGCTCCTAACTTGAAGTAGGAGAGCCTACCACTTTTGTACTTCTCCCATATTAAGTCTCTACTGTATCTGTGAATATTCATCTTACATTAATCTTAGCTGAAGAATGTTATTGGTTGTATTGTCTACTAACAATCAGTGAAGCGCACATAGTGATTTTTAAACAATGTGACGTTTGGATTTGCTGAATCTTGTCAGAGTTGTCATGCAGGTCAAGATACATTTTACCTTATTTTTATAATACAGATGTAAAAATATAGAGTAACTTTAGAAACTGTTCTAGTGACTGTATATCAAGACTTCTTATCTCTTGATTTAGAACAGTTGTGTAACTACGCAATCAAAACGTTTTTGCCTACTCTCTATTCATGAGGAAATTAATATATGTGTTTGAGTGCAGTATTTGAGTCTGTAACTTCTCTACATTTTCTGCAGTGAAATGGAAATTAGCAGAACTTGTAACATTGTTTCATGTTCCTACAGCTGTAGCTTTTTCCCACAGTGAAATTAGTATCACCTCTTCTATAACTGAAGAGAGGTTACACATGCCAGCCATCTGACACCTAATCCATAAGGGAGCGTTTTCTTTTATTCTGTGCAGTTTTCTAAAACAGCAGGAGCTTGTCCTTCTCTTTCTGAGACCATAATTTACCCTCAAATATTTTGATTATATTTTAAACTTTTTGTTTAACTGCAAGTCTCTAAATAACCCATTATATGTCATTTTCAGGGCTGGGATAGGCAACACTGTGTTACTTATATAAAACTTGTTTCAGCCAAGAAAAACGTCTTTATCCCTACCTTTCTTGCATAGACATTGTCATTTATATGTGCATCTGATTGAAGTAATTGAGTCTGTAGCTTCAAAAACAAACTTACATTGTCTTCAATGAAAGTGGAACTTGCAGAACTTTTTAAAAATGTGTTTTGTTCCTGTAGGGGTGGCATTTCCATACAGAGAAGTTAGCTTTTTTTTTTTTAACCAAAAAGAGGTTGCAGTAGTTGTCTGACATCTGAGTCTGAAGGTTGTTTTTTGAAAATAATCCTTCTCCGTCAGGAGCATGAAAATAGGCATTAGCTACAGAGCTTGAAGATGGGATATTTTCTAAAAAATCAGCATGTTCTAGAATGTGAACTTTTCAGCAGGCACAAGTAGAAGTTTTTTTTGAACTGTGTAAGTTTATGCCGTTTGAGAACTGTAGCTCACTGGACCTTGAGGAAAGAACAGACCGTGTTTTGAAATAAAAAGCAAACTTTGTTTTGACTGTGTTAGTGAGAGCTCTTAAAGAGCAGCTTATGAAGCACAAAAAATAGATATTTGATTTTTAGGTTTTACTACCACAAGTGCTTGTTTTTGATAATGCTGTCAAATTTACAGAAAAATGGAAGAGTTTAAGAGACGAAAAATGTCTTCATGCTCTTGTAATAAGTTTTTTTAATTATGCTCATTCAGGTGAAAGCAGAGTGAAAGATGTGTTCTTGGAAAGCTTTTTCTGCAGTTTGATTATTGCCACAAAAAATCTTTTCCTTTTTTCTGCAAGTTTTTTTGTCCTTTCTTGGTGTCCTGGTATCCATTTCAAAGGGTCAGGTTTCAGCAAGAACAATAAAGAGCCTGAGAGTGGAAAGTACACACAAGTCTGGCAAACTCATCTGCATGAGCAAGATCGTTTGTTCTCAAGCAGACATCCAAAGTAAATGATTGAAAGAGCTGCTAGCTGTGAAGGATGTGTCTTGAAGGGGAAAGGAGTGGAAACAAACCATATTGTTAGGAAGAAAAATAAAGGCTGTACTTTTTGAACCTCTCCCTGCTGGGTCCCATGCTGACCCTGGGAGATTTTAAACAGTGTAATAGGCTGTTTTCTTTTGGCTTTCCTTGGGTGATACTGTGGTATGGGAGAGTCTAATGAGGACAGTTCAGAAGGCTCTGTTCACACTTAAAGAACATGTGTTGTTCCTAAAAGGTTGCTTAACTCTATCTACAGGTGAGATCCACTGAGATCATTGGAGTTCATGAAGATTTGTAAAAAGCATTTCAAGTCTTAGCAAAATTTTTCCTCTGTATGTGTAGAAAATCTAAAGAAATGTAAGAATTAGCTTTGAGTAGCAAGTTTGTATATTAAAAGTTTTTTTCAGTGTTGAGTGATAAATTCTATCTCACATCTACAAGCCTGTTAAAAACTAACATCTTGCTTAGTTATACCTTAAACATTTGCTCGAAATGTGAATACTAAGATTTCTGATTCTAAATACATTTAGAGTGGTTCCTTCTACCATATGCAGATTTCTGGTGTCTTTTCCAAGTATTCAGCTTTTTTTTTTTTTTTGGGTTGGCTGCACTGCTTTTTGTTTCCATTTGCTCTGTTCTGTAGCCACTCTACGAACAGTCTGGTAACCAGGCTCTAGAAGGATCTTTGCCGAATAGGTAACAATGTTATATTTTTTCCAGATGTCAGTAAGCCTTATGGTTATAGTTATCATAATATACTACGGTGCAAACAGAATAAAATAAAATTGAGTACCGTACTTAATACACTTTGTAATTACAGTCACTTCCACTAATCGATGGGTCAAGTACTGCAAGCATTAGTTTGTACAAAGAAATGAAAGTAGTGTATGTGGCAGAGAAAACATTTAATCGCCTGTGTGTGCATATATATATATATATATATATATATATATACACGCAGATACATGCACAGAGTTATTTGGCCACGTATTTTATGTACACACCCCACATATCCGTAAATATTAAAAGAGGGTGAGAGTGGTAGTGTAGGGTTTGAACCAGAGCTACTCTTATAAATTAGTCAGTCAGCTAGATAAATAGACCCCCTTAGGTATGAATGCCCAACATATGATTTGCCAGAATTCCACTCATTAATGTTCATCTCACTGTTATGAGCAGTTCTGCTGAGTATAATTTTCCATTAGTGATGATTTTGAGCCATGAGTTAAGGCCACTACTATACAGCTGGTAAAACTAATCCTATTTTTTTACTGATACTGCTCCTTAAATTGAACTCATCAGTTAAGACTTGCCTAGTTAGTAAGTGGTCAGATCTGACTCATCCCAGCATTGCTGTGTGGTAGCTTTAGCCCATTCTTAAACATGCAGTATAAAAGCCGGGCTTGGTTTGTGTGGTGATGTCAATTGCATTGCTTTTTAACCGCTTCCTGTTAGCCAGCTGCTGGTTGACATTTTGGTGAACTATGGAGAAAGATAGGGGATCGCTCTCTAGGCAAAAGATAATATGCCATGGGAGTAGCAGGCAACTACTTGCAGAAAGAAAAAATAAGTTTTGATTAATTTTAGAGTTACTCTTGTATCATTTTAGCTTACAGTTATGCTTTTAATTCTTACAAAGCTTGTCTAATAGCGCTTCTTATGTTGTAGTGTGAGGAAAAGTTAACTGATTGTCCAGCAAACAAGTCTTATAATTATTTTTCCTACAGGAAGTAGTTCTTGCAAGCAGTTTATCAACAACTTCCTATTTTTTTTTCCTATGAAGTGTTGAATGACTTCCTGAAGGAGGCCAAGGTGGTTTTCATTAGTATCTGTGGGTGTGTTTGAGGTGTTTACCCATCTGGCAGAAACCTTAAAAATAGATTTCTGTTACACATTTCTTATGTGCTCCATACAGAGGTATGGCTTTGGACATTATGAAATGAGATCGTTTAAGACAACTGGGAAGTTTGTTGCTGTGCTTTTACTTTTTTTTTTTTTTTTTTTTTTTAAATTTCCTCATGTCACACACGAAAAATACCCAGTGCTGTTGTTAAATTTCTCTTTCATCCTGTTTTTGCACCTGACTGGAGCCACCCACTACACCAATATCATCTGCTCCCCTCCTCCTCCCCATCTCACCAAAGTAATCTTAGTCTTCAAGGACAGATGATGTTTATAGGAAAAGCTACAGCCACAGTTACTTATTTTATTGAATACCTTAATTTATTGGGGAAATGCATATTCAGATTCATCAGTTAGTGTGAGTTCTTGTGTTTATAGTTCAGTCTAGTTGGTCAGTAAAATAGCAGTATTGTTGGAAACCAAAACTGCAACCACTGGTTTTGATGGATTTCTCCACTTTTTCATGCTTTTTGTACTGAAAAGCAGTTGAAGATGTCTGTTTGCTAAATTTTATTTGTAATATGTCAAGTTAGTTGCATTTTTGTATTGATTTGACTGTTTAATGTAAGATTGAAGATCTACCCAAAAAAAGCCATAAAAAAAATGGGCACTGTCGGTTTTGGAACATAGCTCAAGAAAAGAAATATTATTAAAACACTTTTGAAGTAAAGCTTGCTGTAATATAGTTTTGGCAATTTAAGGGGGGTTTTTTGTCTTGGAAGATGGTCATAGTACTACCAAGTGTATATTTTTCTTTCTGTCTCTTACTTTGAAGAGTCCTATGAAAGAACAGTAACACAAGCTATTTGGAATTTGCAGTTGTACTAAAGATTTCTTTGTTTTTAAAAGGGCCGAGGAAGAATAAGGGCAAACCTGCCTTATTTGTTTTAGCACTGAGACCGAGTTCGGAGGATGATGAAAGTACATACTCAGCCCAGTATGAATTCAGAGAACTTGCAGTCAGTTTGCTTGATGGGCATCAGTGAAAGCAATTGCACACAGTACTTTGCTTGGGTTTGGTTTTTATTTTGCTTAAGAAAAATTGTAAATGATGATACCCATGCATTCAATACCCTACCGTACAAGGTGATTTTATAAGGCTAATTCCAAAAGCAGTTTAATAGATGTTTTATAGATGTGATTTCAGGTAAACCAGAACTGTATCTTGTGGGTTTTGCTAATGTATTTTTCTCTTATTTATAAGCATCTTGACATTTATTATCTTCAGAAGAAATTAGAACTGGGGAAA